CACAGCGCTCTACCCAGGGCAACAGCTTGAGACTCCATTTCAAAAAAAAGAGAAAAAAAGAAATCATTCATTGAGAATTTATTCCGAGAATTTATCCTGTATCTCTGGTAACTGGAATATAAACAAGACGCACGTTGTTGTCCTTAAGGAGCTCAGGAAAACCTCCTTGCTCCTTAGATAAGACGTGAATATACAGAGTCACAGAACACCATGTGAACCAGAGCTGCAGGATTTCAGAGCAGGAGGACTCAGGAGGACTTCAGGAGCGCAGGGAGCAATGAAACCCGTGCACCCAGGAACTCAGCGCATTGTACGATTGTGGGCTTCCCAAGGGAAGGTGCAGAAGCAGAGACACGGAGACACAGACCTCGAGAAGGGGTGGCCCGAGCCAGAGGGCAGGCACGCTGCTGATGTGTTGGCAAGCCATGAATACCGGGCTACAGAGTTTTCAGCACTTAATAAATTAGGCAACAGGAAGTTATTAAAAGTTTTTTCAGGGATGTTTCCATGAGAGCAGTGTTTGCTTAGATGGACCTCCCAGTGGTAATTGGGACAGATAAGCATGAAGGTGACCTGGCTGAAGTTCCGATCGGAGGCCGTCACCCGCAGTTCTGGTGAAAGGTCATGAGGCCCTGGCACAGGCGATGGCAGTGGGGAAGGAAAGGAGGAAATGGACTCTGGGGCTGCTGTGAAAGTGGAATCCACAGGGATGCCTCAGATGCCTGAGTCTGAACAAGCACGAGGCTGTGAGCGGCTGCAGAGTGAGTCAGGGACAGGCTTCTCCCCTGCTGCTGAGTCCACTCAGCTTGGTTGTCTTGGGAAAGTGGCCTCACCCAGCAGGATTTTAGTTCTTTCATCTACAAGAGAACGGGGTTCATAACGTCCCTTAGTTGCATTTGTAGGGAAAAAAAAATCTCTCTGAAACAGTACTAATTTTGAAATGTAAAATTTCCAGTTGGATTACCTGAATTACACTTGATCTCTAGCCTTCTCTGTCTTTTCTCTCTGTTCCTCTTGCTCTCTCCTTTCACGTTTTCTTAGAACTGTCCCTGGGGGCTACACTGGAGGCCAGCATGATATCCCACAGGAATAAGAGCCAGGATGACGAGAAACATCATCCACTGTTCTCATTCTCCAGGTGCACAACCCATGGGGTGGGTGTGGGAGTTGAGAGAGGCAGGTGAGCAGAGCGTTCTAGTCTAGGGAGGAACCCCAAGATTTTAGTCTACTCCTAGAGCATTCACAGACTCCAGGAGGTGGGGAGAATTCTGGAATTGAGTCAGAATCTAAGTCATCTTTAAGGCTCTGGATGTAGGGTGGACCTGAGCTTCCAGGGGGACATGAAAACCAGCTGCTGAAAGAAAAAAAATAGACAAATTTAATTTAACAGAGTTTAGTCAAGCAAATTGGAGGGCCTCCAAAACCAGAAGTGACAGAGTTGCCACACGGTCAGATGACATTCGTGGACAGAAAAATGAAAGGAACTATAGAAAACAGAAGTGAGGCACGAAACTGGATTGATTACTGCAGGGTGTTTGCAGGGTTTGAACTTGGTTGGGACAGTTGGCTTCCTGTAACTGGCTGAGACTCTTGTTATAAGAGTAGGTGACAGTCTGTTTATACATCCTGTTATGGGACAGTTCACTGTGTATGTAGACACATTTGGGTGAACTTAAAATATGCAAGATGGCAGCGTTAGGCTACACTTAACACTACTTAGTTAAGGATCCTGCCCTGTACGGAACAGGAACATAGCCTCCCCTTCTCCTACCCTCACCCTCACCACATTCAGAAGCACAGGGGCTTGAAAATATCAGGAGCGGTTGCATAGGGAGTTGCCTTGGTCAGAAGCCCTAATTGCCTCTCATTTCTAGGTCTCACCAGACTAGGAAGGGAGTATGTTTAGATACACCAAGAAACTGATGCAGAATCACTACCACTTTCGCCTCCTCCCACAGTTTCCTAATTTCCAAGATAAATCTGGGGAAATAAGGTGGGTCCCTAGGGTAAATGAGTATGCACCCAACAGTGGCTTTGTCACCAAAGGGTGACAACAAGAAGAGAAGGCTTTTGACCTCTTTCGACCTTTAGCTGCCAGGCCAAGCAGAGCTAGGCTTAGGAGAAAGGGCATGGGAATGAAATGTAGACCAGCAATGTGATTCTGACACTACCTGCCTACGTGGAGTTAGGCCAAGCTTCACAAGTTAAGGGCACAGCCCTCCATAGGACTCTCCTCACTTCACATGCCAGCAGCAAACTTGGGGGGTTCCCAAATCCCCTGCACTTCTGACCAACTGGTTACAAATTTGGAGTTCTCACTAGCCCCTCAGTTTGATCATTTGCTAGAAGGATTCACAGAACTCAGGAAAGCATTATGTTCATGATTAAAACTTTACTGGAGCAAAAAAGAATACAAATCAGGCCTAGGGAAAAAAAAAAAAAGAAATGCATAAGACTAGATGGGGAGGGGGAGTCCCAAATGTGATCTTTGATGTCCTCACCCAGTGGAATACAGATGCATCACCCTTCTGGTGAGAGTGCACGTGTTGAGAATAAGATGGAGCCAGTCAGGCTAGGGCCAACATGACACAGCTATCTGGTTGGTTTAGGTCCTGGGTCTTCACTTCATGTCTCCCATTCTTGTTTTATAAATTCAGCTTTAACATAAAAATGTATATTTGAGTAGTTTAGGGCAATTGGTTTAGGAAGTTAACGTTTGAAGTAGAATATGGTTACATGGCAAGTGGGTTATGCTGATGATTGCTTACTGTGGGTCATGGGTTATGGCAATTACCAAGATAAGGGTTAATTACTGTTTAAGATGAGGGATAGGATGGTTCTTGCTTTGA